AGAAAAATGTTGTGTGGATGATGTCAGAGATATTACGCTCTGTGTTCTCTTCTAGGATTTTTATGGTTTCAGGTCTCACACTTAGGTCCTAAATCCATTTTGAGTTTAATTTTGTGTATGGTGTAAGAAAGTGGTTCAGTTTCATTCTTTTGCATGGAGTTGTCCAGTTTTCCTAACACAATTTGTTGGAGAGACTGTCTTTTTCCCATTGCATATTCTTGCCTCCTTTGTTGAAGATTAATTCACCAAATAATCATGAATTTATTTCTGGCTGGCTGTTCTAGTCTCTTGATCTGTGTGTCTGTTTTTGTACCAGTATCTGACTCTTTTGATTACTACAGCTTTTCAGTATATCTTGAAATCTGGGATTGTGATACCTCCAGTTTTGTTTTCCTTTTTCAAGATTACTTTGGCTGTTCAGGGTGTTTTGTGGTTCCATACAAATTTTAGGATTATTTGTAATAGTTTTGTGAGAAATATTGTTAGTATTTTGGTAGGGATTGCATTAAATATGTAGACTGCTTTGGGTAGTGTGGAGATTTTAACAATTCTTGCTTTTCCAAATGGAATATCTTTCCATTTGTTTGTATCATCTTCAGTTTTTTATCAGTGTGTTATAGTTTTCAAAATATAGATCTTACATCTCCTTAGTCAAGTTCATTACTGGGTATTTTATTACTTTTGGTACAATTGTCAATTCAAATTTTTTTAAATTTCTCTTTCTGCTATTTTATTATTGTTATATAGAAATCCAAGAAGATTTCTGTATATTGATTTAGATTTCTATATATTGATTTTGTATCAATATGTAATCAAATGTTTTTTGGTAGAGTCTTTAGGGTTACTTTATTCCTGATGAATAGGGCTAGAGAGATTGAGAATTTTTCCCCAGTCATCTGCTCCACCCTAAACTTTGGTCCTTCCCTGGTTACACCTGCTACAGAGAGGGTTTATTTCTGTGGATTTGTCTCATCTCTAGAAGTAGATTACTATAGTTTTTAGTGCTTGCTATCTTGGTATTGAGGAAGCAAGAATATTTCTGTTGTCTTGGTCTTTCTTAGGTCTTAGGCGGGTCCTATATGCTCTGGTCTTGTGGTGATTTTTTTCAATGATTCCATCTCTCTTCCCTCTTTCATCTATGCTTTGAATCATTGATGGGTCTTGTGTGAGATAGTCTTGTCTTCCTCTCCTTCAGGTATAGAGAATATTTTCTTTTGCTGCTCCTCCTCCTATTTTGGAATCTTATTCATGCATGGGGTTTTAAGGTTTGATCTTTCTCCCCCAGTGGCTTTTTTTCCCCATAAGGGAAAAGGATACTGGGGGGGCTTGATGCCTCTTTTTTCAAAAAATTTTTTAACGTTTATTCATTTATGAGAGACAGAAAGCACAAGCAGGGTAGGGGCAGAGAGAGAGGGAAACACAGAATTGAAGCAGGCTCCAGGCTCTGAGCTGTCAGCACAGAGCCTGATGCCGGGCTCAAACTCACAAGCTGTGAGATCATGACCTGAGCCGAAGTTGGACGCCCAACCAACTGAGCCACCCAGGTGCCCCTATGCCTCTTTTATAAGAGAAGTCCCTCCCCTTCTCCAGTCCTGCATTACAGTGAGAGGCATTTTCTAGTTTTCTGCCCTGTCCTCAATCTTTCTCTTAAACACCTGATAAAAGGCATGTATAGGAGAGACTGCTAGTGGTTGTGAATTCCCTTTGTGTCTATGTCTCTGTGAGGTTCTACACTGTCATTTTTCCTATACTTGACTTCTAGTAGTTAAAAAAAATTAGGCCTCATTCTGTTTACTCACTGGTATGACACCTACCAGTTCTTTCTCCTGTGCTCTGGGTCCTAACTTTCCTTGGACATCAGATTATTGCTGCCTTGTAATCTCTGTTTGTGGTAGAATTTTTTAAAGTTATGATTTTGTTCTTTGTTGGGATATGTATTTTTAAGGTATAAGGTATGATTTTTCCAACTTTCTACATCTTAGATGGAAGTTAAACTTCTAAATTAAAAAAAAAAAATTAAAGTTCCTTTTAGGAAATATAACTTCTATGTTAATTCATTGGTTCTCAGCTTATTTCTGGTTATGGAATGCTAGGAAGTTATAATGCTAGTTATAGTACCATTGCTTTATTTGAATTAAAATTATTAAATATTTCTGACAATTTAAATATATTTACCATTTATTAAATACCTGATGCAATTTAATGAGCATCTTTTGGATTTCAGTTGTCATGCTAGATATTTTCATACCTAATTCTCATAAACACCATTTTGAAGAATGGCTTTTGCTTTTCTTTTATTATGGATGAGAAAAACTGAGGCTTAAAGGAATTAAGTTGATTGCTTTGTATCACAAAGAATTAATGTTGTAGAAGTGAGACTTCAGACCTTAGTTTCTGATTTCAAAATGTTTCTTGTTTCTACACTACACCACTATTGTAGTTCATTTCTTACTGTCTGGATAAGTAATAAATGATAGGGGACAGGGAAAAATAATAATAAAAATTTTGTTGGGCTTCTGTTACTAGATATGTTTTGTTTTATGTTAAACATTAGCCTTTTTTTAAAATAGGCAATGATATGGGAAATGAAGATGTCATCAGAGGGAATGTGAGCAAATATATGGTGCTTCCATCTGGATACTGTGGACAGCCCAAGAAAGGACATCTTATCTTTGATGCTTGTTTTGAAAGTGGTAAGTGTATTAAAGACCTTAGCTTTTGAATTTGTCTTCGGTTGTTTCAAAATACAGTTCATCTGGCCATTCACTGTGATTCAACCCATTTAATATTTCATCATAATGAAACAGGTTATCAGGAAAAAAATCAATTTTTAAAGAATTAAATTGGAAATAACTTGAAAATGAAATGCTGTGTTTTTATTGATATGTGATCAATGGTATAATGTTAATAATAATGATCATTGATAGAGCACCTTATATTTTATAAAATACTTTTTCAGATATTAATTTTTGGGGGATAAAACTGACAAATTGATTATATGATCAATCATTAATTATTGAATGTTTATCATGTATTTGGTTCTGTGTGACATGCTCATAGAACTTAGTCTTTGTCAGAGAGAAGGTCTCCCTATAAAGAAATGATTCGGTAACAGATTTAGTTGAACACAAACAAAACAGCAAAAGTAATATTATATCATAATCATCAAATTCTGTGGTTATTCTGAATGGGAAGATCAAAACTTGATTGTAAATTCCTATCCAGTAGGGAATGGATCTTGTTAATGTTTTTGTGCCCTGAGCCTCATACTCTGTATAGCACATATTAGGTACTCAGAATATGTTGAAAATACTAATGAGAAAGGTAAACATAATTTTGTTTTATAAGTAATTATTAATTATTTTTTATTTTGAATAATGTGTGTGTGCTGGCGCGCGCGCGTGTGTGATTGTTTGTAGGGGCATGGCAGTTTAGTTACATGACACTTCTCTCAACCCTAAGAACATTGGTTGTTTATATCAACAGTTGAAAACTTGTTTATTCAAGCTTTTGCTCTTTGTTTATTCCATGCTATTTTAGTTTGCTAGGGCTGCCATAACAAAGAACAACCAACTGTGTGGCTTAAACAGCAGAAATTTATTATCTCACCATCCTGGAGGATGAATGTCTTGAGATCAGTGTGTCAGTAGGGTTGCTTCCTTGTAAGGGTTATGAAGAAGAATATACTCCATTCCTTTTTTTCTAGCTTCTGGTGGTTTGTTAGCAATCTTTGGTGTTCTTTGGCTTGTAGAATCATCACCCCAATCCCTGCCTTCATCTTTACTTGGCATTCTCCCTGTGTGCCTGTTTTTTTTCTAAATATTCCTTCTGTATAAGGATGCCAGTCATGTTGGATCAGGGGCCACTCTGATGACTATATTTTAACTTGATTATCTTTGTAGAGACCCTATTTCCTTTTAAGGTCACATTCTGAGGTACTGGGTGTTAAGACTAACATGAATTTGGGGGGCACATAATTCAACCTATAAGATAGTACTGTAGTGTTCTTCCATTCAGACAACACTGTCCACATAGTTAAGAACAGTTTCCCTGAAGTTTGCATTTTGCCTTGTCTGGGATATATTTGGTGCTTAGAAAATATCTTTTGAATTCTTTTTACCTCAGTTAAAGACTTGAAGGCTCTTTATAATAACAGCAGCTCTCTAAGGGTCAAAATTATCCTCATTTTAAAGACTATGTGTTGTTTTGGTTTACCTAAAGTATGAAATAATCCAGATTTCTTTCCATATTTTCCTTTAACTTAGTCATATTTTTCCATCCTTTACTGAAAAGTTCAGTAGCAGAAATCACCCAATGTGACCACATAGTAACCAAATTAATAATGTATATTTCTCCAAAAGTGTATGAATAGTTGGTTTATGTCAACTGAATTTGTGCAAGTGGTGCATAAGCCTTGCAGATAGTAGAGTGCTTAAGTGGACATGCTCTGGTGTCAGGCTACAGTTTAAATTCTCACTTGAAAACTAAGCCATAGTTTCCTCATCATTTAATGGAGAATGATGCCTACTTTATGTCTAAAAGCAAAAATATATATATATTTCATTGTTTAAAAAATTAAAACATCTTACCAAAATGGAAACAAAATAATAATAATATTTAAAAATAGGTAAATGAGAAAATCTCAGAAAGGGAAAATACCAAAAGAAAATTCAGCTGGATGAGTATATAAAATACATGGTATGAGTTCCCATAAATTTGCTATAGGTAGACAATAAATTTAACTGAAGGTTTTCTGGTAACCAGCATCAAGAGAAAAACAATATCCATCAGATAAAAATAAACCAAATATTGAAATCTTATAGAAATTCCTCCTATTGGGCTTCCTAAAGAAGACACTGAGATGTGATGAATAGCATTCACAACAATATACCTGTGGTATTTACAACAATGTATTTCATAGGCGTATGTTTTGTAATATCCTTCAGTGTGGACTGGGGTCCTAATGCTAAAGGGCATCTTAGTGAAAGCAATTCAGTTGGCACTTGAAACAATTTGTTTGACATATGCAGCTTTCATCTGATCTAATTTAAATTAAGGGATTTATTTTAGACTATTTAAAACAGGGAAGTTAGGGGTTTTCTCTTATGTGCTCACTCTGAGCTACTGACTGTGGATGCCTCACGTGTTGTGTTGTGAAAAGGATTCTGTAGGTGTAGACTTTTGAAGGAGTAAGGTGATTAATTGATTCGATGATTGGGAGGTATTGTTTCATGTGGATGGAATATATTGTCTTCAGATAGGCCCCATAGGTATGTGTTTTTTTTCTGAGTTGTGGAATATGTAAAGTGCCTAGTATATTGCCTGGCCCTGAACTGGTGGGTTATCTGTTTTTCTAAATGAGAAAGAAGTTCTGCAGTTCAAATATGAACTTTCCAATGTAACCCTGCTCTGTTTTTTTTCATACCCCCCTTAGTATAAGTAATATTTCCCTTGGAAAAACAGAAGACCACTATAAATTTATCTTTCTATGGATACCTGACACTTTTCATGATTTTTAAAAACTTTGTTCTCTTCCACTGCACTATAACGTGCTCAGGACAGAATCTGAGTCTGATTAAGCAGGGGCTCTCCCACAGAACCAAGCTGAGTACTTACAAAATTAAGCACTAAATTAATACTATTTTTAATTGATGAATGAAGTAATTCGAGCAATAGAAAGATAGGGAGAAATTAACTTTCTTACAGCTTTCATGAAAAAAAATCATATTTAATTGCTTATTATTCCCCAGTCTACCAACTTCTCTCAAGTCTTCATATGTGTGCAGGTACTGTTTTCTCTGTGACCTAGATCCCTTTATCTTCCTGGTAAAATGTTAATTCAGATTCAGTCCAGCATTTCTTCCTCTGAGAAACAGTACCTCTCAGACAAGTTTGGCTGTCTCTACCTCTATATTTACAGGCACCTTGTAGGCTCTTATATGATAGTCTTTACTGAATTGCAGTCATTTCATTGTTTCTTTCTTTTTCCTTATCATTGAAACCTTGAAGTCAGGGATGGTTTCTTATTAGTTTTGGTTCTCCAGTGCCTAGTGTACTAACAGTCATATAACAAGGAGATTAATAAATGTGTGAATAACTGAGAGAGGACAGATAGTGAACAAAATGGTTTTTGTAAAGTGAGATTTTAAGATTAATAAAAATATTTTTATGTTTAGATAAAAATATATTAATAGCAGCAAAAATATTAAGAAGGAAAACAAAAAAATTAATTACTTGGTGCTTATCAGACATTATGATAAGTGGTGTACATAGTTTATCTCAATACTCACTGAAACTTTCTGAGGTATTATATATCTCTTGTAGGTGAGGAAACTAAAGCTCAGAGATGTAAAGTTATTTCCCTTGAATTGCATGATTGACAAGATGTATAGATGAATTTGAAAATGAGGGTTTCCTGGCTCCAAAGGCCATACTTTTAACCATTGCATATACACATTACCTTATTATAGGCTAGTTTATGATATATGAATAATATATATATGTGTGTGTATATATATATGTATATATATATATATATATAGCCTATAAGCCTATATATATATATATATAAGCCAAATATATATGTGTATATGTGTATATATGTGTGTGTGTGTGTGTGTGTGTGTGTGTGTGTGTATGTATATATCCATCTTATAAGATAAGACATATAGGTTTTGTGATAAGAAAAATAAAAAATTGTCTACTTATTTTAAAATAAGCCATCCAAAGGGCACCTGGGTGGCTCAGTCACTTGAGTGTCCAACTCCTGATTTCAGCTCAGGTCATGATCCCAGGGTCATGAATCAAGCGCCATGTTGGACACTGTGCTGAGCATGGAGACTGCTTGGGATTCTCTCTGTCTCTTGCCCCTCTCCCCTGCTTGTGTGCGCTCTCACTCTAAAAAAATTAAAATAAGCCATCCAAATAAACACTATTTGGTTGCCAGTAGTACTGTTGTTTTACGATTGATATGAATACATGTATATTGAATATGAGAAGAACAATATCATTTATACTACAAATTAGCCTCAGAGACTTAATATAATATTTAAATTACTGTGGCTTGAAAGAGGGTCAGTAAAAGAAAGACATGGTTCAATTGTTTATATACCATTTCAAGACGATGGAAATAAAAACTTAAAACTTTTATTTTTAATTTCTATGATGGAATTTTATTATATTTATTTGTGTAATCTTTAAAAATTACTGTTTCCTTTTGAAAGAAAATAGTTTTTATTCTTGGCACAGTATGAAAATGTGCCATGACTACAATAGAAATCAGGGGTTTTAGGTTAATATCTCACTTTTTTTTAGATATGCAAATGGTTGATATACTTTTTCTTTTTACCTTTTGAGGAATAATTGACAAATATAATTATAGATATTTAAAGTGTCCAATGGGATGGTTTGATATATATACATGTATATAAAATATTCTATATATAATATAGAATAATTACCAAGATTTAGCTAATTAACACATCAATGTCCTCACATAATTAACACAGATAACTTTTCTTTGTGTTAAAAATCCTTAAGATCTACTTTTATCAACTTTCAAATATACCATACTGTATTATTAATTACCATAATCATGGTTTATATTAGATCCTCAAAACTTATTCATATAATTGAAAATTTGTATCTTTTTAGTTATATCACCCCATTTCCTCCTTCCCCCAGTCTCTGGCAA